GCTGCGACTTCATTGCTGTAGAGGCGAGATGAAGCCGCACGGTGCGAATCCAAATGTACTGGGCTGCGTGTACCGTCAGCGGTGGGCGTGGGCGTGCCCGTGTGCTGGTATTGTTGCATCTTCCCTTACGTCACTTTCCTGTAGATGAAATACAAAAAATCCATAAATTATACCGAAGGAGGGTAAGCAATTCTCTGGTGTGTACTGTTTGCCGCCGCGAAGAACCGCAGCATTCGAGAATCCGAGCTCGATTGCGGAAATTTTGAAGAGCACAGCCGGAACAGCCAGACATAAGTTCCAGAAATGCCATAAAACTCTGGTCAGCTGGACAATGCGCAGAAAAAGAGGCACACGGCCAAAGACTTGACAGGAAGTATCGACGTCGTGGCAAGGAACCTCTCGGGTCGGCAGCCGCCTTCACTGGGCAGCTGGAACCTATAACAGGTTTAAAATATCAAAAAGAGCGCAAGCTCAAAAATTTATTAGTTTTGGAAGGGGTTGAAAAGAGCAGGAGCAAGCAGACTGTAGCTTTCTCTTATGATCGCCGTCGGAGCAAGCAGCCCGCTTTTATGAGCGGAGGAACCGCGTGTTTCGCGGCCCAAGTTATCCGGCCCCTGGAAATGCTCGATATTATTCCATATTCATTTGCATACAGGGCTATATTTGTTTTAATTTGTTTCACGCCGCTCATCTGCCAAGGCAGCGGGCACTGGCAAGCTTGCAGCTGACCGCTGCGCCGACACCATGAAGCGTCTTGCTCAATCGCAAGGCCGGCGCAGAAGGATGGCTGCCTGCAAAGCTGGTATGTGTTGAACAGCCTGTTAAGTAGGTAAATCTATAAATCCCAGATTTTGGTGGTGTTTGCATATCTACCGTACTATACTAAGGGCTCTGTGTCAGGACACTGGGCGGAGCCATATTACGGGACTGTTAAGTGACCCACGCACAGGATTGTGCAGCAAGAGGTTCGTCAGTCGAAGAAGCAGTTTGATACCTTAAAGTTCATGTACTGGCATGGCAATTCAAGCGGAGTCACATTTCTGTGGACGAGGTAAATTATCTTTTTAAGGCGGCTTCCAGACTGCGCACTTACGTTGAAGTTGATAGCACGTTTGTGCCCAAAAGACCATTCGCAGTTCCAGCCAAATTTTTGATTCTAGAGAAGAGTCTCACGTGTCCTCCAGATGGACTGTTTCTTCCGCACGGCTTTGCTGTGCTAGGCTCGGAGAAGTCGTAAATTCAACAACGCAAAAAGGCGCGGAACTTGGAAATAGCCTTCATCCGCATTTTTATCTTCAGAAATGCATAGCAAGCACTGATGGGATGCTGGCTCATGCAACTAGGCTTTGGGTTTCCACAGGCGTCTTATGGCACTCAACCAACGAACGCGTCTAGCTGCTCTAAATCATCACATTTGATTCTGAAGCGCCAGAAAAGTTTGAATAGTGCTGCTCACACTGTTCACCCATACTACATTTCGTTTGCGCTAGTCAAAAAGAACAGAATGGCGTAATCATGCAGGAAGTAGAACGGCCAAGCAGAAGCAGTTAAATTGGCCTTTGCACCAGCAGAAGCGCCAGAAACATCTGAATACTGCTGCTCACACTGCTCACCAATACTACATTTCGTTTGCGCTAGCCAGAAAGAACAGAATGACGCAGTCATGCAAGAAGTACAGCGGCCAAGCAGAAGTAGTTAATTGGCCTCTGCAGGAGCAGAAGCGCCAGAAACATCTGAATACTGCTACTTATACTGTTCACCGAAGCTACATTTCGTTTGCGCTAGCCGGAGAGAACATGGCGCATAGCCAACCAAGCAACATCATCAAGCAGTAATAGAGAGAAGCACCACCAAACAACAGCAAAACGCAGCAGCTCCGAACAGCACAACCAAAGAACAACAGTAAGCAGCGCCACCAAATAACAGCCTCGGGCAACACAGCCAAGAAGCAGCAGCAGCAACAAAAAGCAACAACAGACAGCAGCACCAAGTGACTGCAACAAATATTCTGGTGAGCCTATTTTCCATGCTGTTGCTACTAGCGCAGGCGTCTTGACCCAGCACTCCACATCTGTTGCTGCAGTCCAAATCCCAGCCTCATGGCATTCAGCTTTCCACAAGTTTTAATCAAGTTGCTGCTGCTGCTGTTGTGGCTGGTTGAAGAACTGCAGCGGTCTGAGGCCACTGCGACGCATATGGGTGTCTCTTCTGCCCAATTTCCGAATTTCTCTATGTTTTTTCCCTACACTAGAAATGATGCAAAACGACCATCTTGTCTATAACATACACGCCGCCCGAAAATGTTTCTTTGAATCACGGTATAATAGCCACAAGCAGCACGGAGTAGCAGCAGGCGTCAGCACCAGAAAGCAGCAGCAGCAGCAAAAAATAAAAGGCAGCAGCAAGCAATAGCAGCAACACACAACAGAAGGCCAAGACAGCAACACGCAGCAGCAGGCAGCAGCAGCAATCAGCAGTAGCAAATAGCGGCACCGACCAGCAGCGAGCAGCAGGCAGCAGCAGCAGCAAATAGCGTGCAGCAGTACGTATCAGCAGCAAGCGGCAGAAGCAAGCAGCAGCAGTAAGCGACGGCACCAAGCAGCAACAATACGGGACCGCAACAAACAACAGCAGCGAGCAGCAGCAGCCAGCAGCCCTACCACCCTGCAGAAGCAAGAGGCAGCAAACAGCAGCAGCATCAAGCAGCAGCAAGTAAAAGCAGCACCACGTGGGAACAACGCGCAGCCGCCGCAGCGGCACGCAACAGTAAGCAGCAGAAACAGCAGCAAGTAGCAACAGGAGCAAACAAGAACAGCATCCAGCAGCAATAGCAAACAGAAGCAGCAGCAGAACCATCCAGCAACAGCAAGAAACAACAGCAGGCAGCAGCGGCAAATAGCAGCAGCACGCAGCATGAAGCAGAAGCAATAAGCAGCAACGAGCAGCTGCAGCAGGATGCAGCTACATCAAGGAGCAACAACGAGCAGCGAAAGCAAGTAGCAATGACAAGCAGCAGCAGCAAGTAGCAGCAACAGGCTGCAGAAGTGAGACGCCCCTGATGCTTGATGGCCTCTGCTGGAGAGGCACTTCCTCCCTTTCTAGGTGCTACTCTCAGATGTTACTTCATCGCCTCAGCAAATCGTGGAAGGCTGGTTGAAAACTCCCATGTAACGAAAACAATTTGAGCCAGCTGCTTCTGCAGTAGTTGCTATGAGTGCTGCAAGTGAAAGAGCTGCAGCTGCTAAAATTTGTGCTGCCGCTGCTGATGCTTCAGCTGATGCTCCATCACCAACCGTTTCCCTTTGCCAGCTCTGCTATTCCAGCAGGAGCAGCATCAGCAGCAGCTGGAGAAGACGGTGCAGCTCATGACACTTTTCTATGTCGTAGTCTGTGAAGTGTGGGATGAGTTGCACCTATTGGGAAGCCTCGAAAATACTGCCATCAGACTTACTCTGGTGACCCAGTACCCTAGGCCCAAAATTGTAAGGCAATTTCTTTGGATCTAGCGCCTCTTCGTAGCTTTGTCTTTTGATTCCTATCAATTGCTGTGAAGCCAGACGGATTCAGACGACATTGGGAACAGCAAGAACTAAGCTTAAGACTGATGGCTGCCTTTCAACTCAACATCAGCCCGGAAGTAAAAGTATTGCATGCATTTTCTCTGTATGTGAGCATCACAATTGCATTATTTGCTGCTCAGTAACAACTAGAAACTCAAGCGAACTGGAAGCAACTTAGTTTGAAGCCACGAATGTGAATCAATATTAGTTTCTACTCAGTTAAAAAGTGCAGACTCCTACTTTTCAATGCTTCATCATGCACGAGTATATTTTCTGTGTTAAGTGAGCATTACAACTGCATTTTATGCTGCTCAGTTACAACTAGAAATTCGAACGAACTGGAAACAACTTAGTTTGAAGCCTCAAATGTGAATTAATGATACTTTCTCCTTGGCTACAATGCATGGATTCTTACTTTTCAGTGCTTTATCATGCACGCGTATATGTACTTTCTGTTGAGGGCATCACTTGAGGGCATCAGCTGTAATACAAGCCTGGCTTCCTATACCAGATTTGTGCTAAATCACAGTTGCTTTTTCCACTGAATGTTGAGCAAAATTTGGAGAGGAGTCCCTTGTACGCTGCCAGAAGTGGCCCTTTTAAGGATATTTTTTGAGCACTCACAACAAATCTCCGCTTGCCACAAAGAACAAGGCAACGCCAGCAAGCAGCATCACCAAATAGCCTCACCACACAGAAATAGCGAGCAGTAATAGCAAACAACAGCGACACCCAGCATTTCCAAGCAGCACCACTCAGCAGCAAGCAGCAGCACCAAGCAACTGCAGCAAACACTTTGGTGCGTCTACTTTCCGTGCTGTTGCTTCTGACGCAGACCTTTTGATCCAGCACTGCTCATCATGCTGCTGCTGCCTTTCAAACCTCAATTGCATGGCATTCCGACATCCATTAGCCTGTTCTATGTCTTTTGCTGTTGTTGCGACTACTTAACTGAAACGGCCTGAGCGCATTGCTGCGCATATGAGTGCCTCTCATGCCAAATATCCAAATTTTTTTTGGTTGCTTCCTCATTCCAGAAATGAAGCAACCGCGAGCAATAGCAGCAACACACAGCAGCAGGCCACAGCAGCAACACGCAGCAGCAGTCTGCAGCGGCAAGCAGCGGCAGCAAACAGCAAGCGGCAGTAGCAAGAGGCACCAGGCAGCAACAAGAGGCGGCATGCAGCAGAAAGTAGCAGCAGCAAGCAGCAGGATCAAGCAGCAATAGTAAGCAAAAGCACCAAGCACCAGCAGCAGGGAGCCGCGACAAATAGCAGCAGCCAGAAATAGCATGGAACAGCAAGCAGCATGCAGCAGCAGCAAGCAGCAGCAAGCAGCGCGCCACGCAGCAGCAAATAATAGCATCACGTAGGAGCAGCGCGCATCAGCCGCAGCGGCGCGGCCGCAGCGGCACGCAACAGTAAGCAGAAGCAGCAGCAAATGGAAACAGCAGCAAGCAGAAAGCATCAGCGTCAAACAGCGGCAAGCTGTGACAATAAGCAGCAGAACAAGGCAGCACCAGCAAGAGGCAGCATAAAACAGCAGCAGCAAGCAGCAGCAGCAAGCAGCAGAAACGAACAGCAGCAAGCAGGAGCAAGGGGCTCCAGCAAGCAGCAGCAACGAACAGCAGCAAGCAGGAGGGCAGCGCCAAGCAGGAGCAGCAGCACTCAGCAGCAGTTAAGCAGCTGCCGTAAGCCACAGCGGTAAGCAGTTCCCCCCAAAAGCAGCACGAAGCAGGAGGACCAGGGGGCAGCGCTAGTAAGTAGCAGGACCACGGAACAGCAGCATTTGCAGCAGCGAGGAAAGGCAACAACAGCAACAAACAGCAGCAGCAAACAGCAGAACGAAGCAGCAACAACCAGCAGCATCAAAAGAAGCGACGAGCAGCAACAGCAAGCAGCAGCACCACGCAGCCATACCGTGATTTCGGTGTAGCAGCACCGAGCATCGGGGCATGGCTGTGGAGTTTCGCCATATTCCTTGGGAAGACCAATGCTCGCGGTGAATTTCTAAGAGTGACTCTAGGCGAATATGTCTCTCATTAAATTCTACATTCGTGCGTGGAATGGATTTCGACAGCATTCAAGCTCATATAGCAATTTCTAGCACTGAAAGGGCGGCCAGTGATAGTGGGGTTTTCAAACTTGTTGAACTAGACATTGAGATAAGACGATATGCATCTGCCTTGATCTGCCCTCACGTGTGGAAAGCCTGAAGGCTACAGAGCACAGGTATCAGACGTTTTGGCTGGGGCCACTACAGACGTTGAAGCGTCTTGAAACGCAGAACGCAAAAGTGTTATTTCTTCATGTTAGTAGTTCAATTGCTTCCCATAGTAAATGTGATGCCATTTGTTGTCTTAAATTTGAGCTCTTTGGTTTACTTCTACATGCACTCAGAAGAGTATAGAGTCGGCAATAGTCGGCCGCCGCAACAGTGAGCTCGCCGAGGTTAAGCTGAAAGCCCCAAATTCACTCCAGGTGCCAGAAAATATCTAAATCAGAATATATATCTCTCAAATTATAATGCTAAGCTGTTTGCGACTTTACTGAAAGGCGCAGTGTGGAGCGAAGAGATATCCTACAAAAAGAAGAACTTGCACACAAGCCCATACAGCGTCAAAACGTGCACGTCTCGGTGCCCTGCTTGGCTTACGTATCGACACGAAGTCTCTCGACAACGCTTAGAATTTTTAAAATTGTTTACCTTCAATGACTTTCTGTGTGTGCTATCAATGACGTAGCTTCGACTTTGTGTTGGTTCGATCCAAACTAGGGAGCACCAAAGCTCAGAACGGCTCCCAGTGTGCCTTTTTATCCGCATTTCCAGGGAAAGAAATGTGGAAGCTTCGCGGAAAATCTGCTCACATGCGTGGCTAGAAGCTTGTGCTGGGCCCGGATTTAAGGTTGACTGCAGTGAGTATCTATCAGGGAAACCGACTACACTGCTAGGGACGACGAGCTCCGCGTTTCCTATACGAGCATACTGAACAACAATGGATGCTGCCGGGGAGGTTCAACGCCTCCTGCAGCTTGTACGCAGCAGGATGAGGCACAGGTCTGGGCCTCACCATACCAAGCTGTCGTACCAGCACTTTGTGAGTCATGACGATCCACGTTTTGCACCACTAGCTCTCTCAATGAAGGAGTAGCTGTGTTATATATGCAGTAAACTAGATCAGCCACAGCCAAAATGGTGTGCCACCTTCCCTTCGTCTCAGGTCGAGGCGTTCGAAGACATGGCATCAGCTTTTGACTCAATGGCTTCTGTGCGACTGCCTCTGTGTCTCGTCCTAGACGCTGCCGTGGATCTGACACTGGGCTTGTTCAGAATGGGCCTTGCAGATCTGGCACTTTGCGTGCTCCGCCTAAAGGAGCCAGACGCTCTAAACTTTCTGAATGGCACTGCGGCGGGGAATGTGGCACACGCCACAGGAGATCCCACAACGTGCCCTACTTGCGCTCGCCAAAAGAAGGCTGCCGAAGCCGAGCACAATGAATGTGTCTCTGGTTATCTAGATAATTCAGAAGTCCCCTGCACCATTGTAAAAAGCATGCATCTGCTGCAGGCAGCGGGCGGCTTCGTGTTGCTTCACGCATGTGCAACTGCTGCTCGCTGTGGCCGCGACGACTACAACTGCGCGGACGCCGACAGGCGCGAAGCCATACTGAGAAGGATTGAGAGTATGGAGGCTCTCCTAAGGGCATGGGGGGCTATCAAGAGAGCCACGAGCCCCGCTCAGATGCCAGCCGAGCTCCAGGGTTACGTGAACACAGCGGTGGTGCTGAGTGGGCGTCTGTGTCAACACCTTGGGTCAAGCGGATACATGGGCACAGCAGCTGATCTGCTCAACAGTTGCTTGTGCCGCGTAGACACTTTTGAACCACGCATGTCTCCATCTTATTGGCCCTTCTGGTGGCAGCTCGCTCACCTACTTGCGCGGCAGGGGAAGTGGGCTGAGGCCCACAGAGTATGCACTGCTGTCTCAAAGGCGATTTCAGAAGCAACAGAACAAACGCTTGAAACAAAGCATAGATATGGGACTGCATACAAGCAGCTGCTTTTCATGGCGCTGATGATTAAGTGCAAGGTGTGGTCCCAAGTCTCGCAGCCAACCGGTGCGGATTGTGCACAGATGCTCCCTGACAGGATTCCTTCAACCTATGCTGCCATACAGCTGCTGCGCTCTGCTACTGTTTTGATGGATACGATGGTGCCAGATGGCTGTAGCATAGTGATAATAGCTGGAATGAAGAGCCACACATTCGCATTCGTCGTGATGTGATGGCCTGTGCAGATGCATTTGAAGAACTGCAGGCCGCTGTGAAGGCATTTACTTCGTGCGTATCGCCTGACCAATCAACTGTTGCTCGCGTAGGAAGATCTATCCGCGAGAACGGTGGGGACATCGGAGCGCATAAGTCTACTACAGTGTACCAGCATCTGCGTAGGCTTTCAGCCTCGAGCTTTGGAGAAAACAACGGACCAGTACCGTCGCTGTTCATGGACGGGTGCACAACAACAACGTCTAAGAGGCTGACAATTTCGTTAAGCCTTCTAATTCTCCAAACGGGCTGCCGTGACAACCGCAGGGCTTCTCCATGGACTGCTGCCGCCGGCGCATTCGGAGATGCATGCACTAGCCACGTACAGCCAGAGGAAGTACGTAACGGCCAACATTTAGCCGAGGCGGAGTCTGCAGAAACCAGAAGTCCAGTTTCTAGGAGGCGCGATGAGTCTCGGGGACAGAGGAAGAAACGCCCGGTGTTGCCAGCAACAGCAGCTGGCAACGGCGCTACAGGGGATTGCAACCCAGTAGAGAGTCTGCTACTGAAGCTGCTTGAATTTACTGAACCCATGCTTTCTGATTTCATTGTAGCTGCATCCAAGCTTGACATGATATTTACTCCAGACGCCTGCGGAACCTTTCCAGAGCCCAAGCCAGCGATGACTGCAGGAGGCGAGCTACCAGCCAAAAGCACAGCGGGAGCTCATGACTCTGCAGGACATGGCCGCAAGAAGGCTTCACGGCAGTCGACCGCAACGGGACAGAATGCCTCTTCAGCAACAACCCCTCCGACGAACGAGGAGTTTCTTAAGGAACTCGTGCGGGCTGCTCATCGTGCTGCGGCGTGTTTGCCTCTGGCCATTCATGCCGAGCTCTTGTGGCGTCTTGCGGACTTAAAAGACATTTTACCACCTGGGAAGCTAGCCAAATGTTGGAAGGCCCTCGAGTATCGCTTCATTTACATGTGAGATACAAAAAGGATGGGAATTAAGACTATACCCTCACAGCACTTTGTTATTTTAGGCGCCGAGTTTTCGCGCTTGAGCTGGTAAGTGCAACGAGGCAAACACCAGGGTCACCACAAAGTGCAAGGACTGGAAATTGTGTTTTTGGCGCAGGAACCTTTTCCATCCTCCCCTAACAGATTTAGAGGTATTTGCTTGGGATGCCACAGAGAATCCGCTGGCTTTGCAGAAGCTCGAAGGATTGATTCGTTCAGGTTGGGTGGTTGCTTCATCCTGCGACTTTCAAGGGCTGCGCAACCTTGAGGAAGTCAGACTTTCCATGCCTGAAGATGATCCCCAAGCAAGTAGGTCAGCAACCCATCAGCTACCCGGAACGGAAAAACAAGGGGCCTTTTCTAAAGAGACTGATGCAGATACAGCTGTGCAAAGCGCGGAGAATATGGCGGCGACACGCTGTATCAGGCTCCTCCTTGCTCGTCATTGGGACTGGGAAACTGCCCTTCGTCTCTGCAGCACCTCTTCGAATAGTGTGGCAACTGCTCCTGCTTCTGCTTTAAAGCCTGATGTTTCTCATGGGCACAACCGTCAGGGCCAGCTGGTTGACCCTGACGGCTATGCGAAGGGAACTTCCACAGCATGCAGAGTGACTAAACTTGTCACCGGCATCCCTCTTATTTGTGGCATGCAGCTGATTGCTGCCAAGACGCCAGAGAACGCAGCTACAAAGTACAAAGCGGGAATGCGCAAGGTGGAGGCCTTACCACTCAGGGACTCACAAGTAGTCGCTAATAGTATGATGCATAAATCTACTGGGACAGGCCAGTCACACGCTCAGCAAGTGCTCGAGACAATATGCCAGATGGAAGATGATTTAGACGATCCTGCAGCTCCACTGCGATCAGTGCGCCGGCTGCACAAACTCCTGCAGCCAGTGACCCATGCACATGTCGTGTGCCACGGCCTAGTCTCAAGTATTCAGTCCCCGGCAACGAGTATGGTGACATCCTGCACACAAAAAGGCTCAGAAACCACCCAACTAAATATAAGTAACAGCTTAACTCTAAAGCCAAAGGAAAATTCTGGGTGTGAGGGGGACAGATGTAATGAAAGAACTGGTGGAAATGCTGCGAACTCCGAATTCGCGACAGTGCATGTAGTGCAGCTGACGAGCTGTGACCATGTCTCTGAGGAACTAAACCATTTTCTGGTTTATACGAGGCTGGCGGCAGGAACTTCAGAATCAACTGCTGAATCTAGCTTCCTCACAGACTCATGCCGACCGCGAGCCTCTGGTGAGGAAGAAACGCCGCCTGTAATCGGTTCGGCACCCGAGCTATTCAAGTGGCGGCTGCGGGATGGACTGCGTTCTGCCTTACAGAGCTGTCTGGGGGTACATCATGATGTAGTTAGTATTATTGATAACTCAGCTGTTTGGCCCACGCCGCCTCACCCCCGCTACAACTGCATGATGAAACTTCCGAAGAACTTGTTTAAGGTCTGCAAGAGGCAGTTTTGGGAGTTGTTATCGCCCCCAGTGGACTTCCTTGAGGCAATCACTTCGCAAACCACCGAGACAGGCTTAGGCGTAGTTAGGTATTTATTTCGAACATAGTATGAGCCTGATTATATGGCGCCACCAGCAGATAGGTTCTAGGACACGCAGTCACAAGACGTTGAATATGTGGTTCAGGGAGCACAGGGGTCAAGCATAGCAGTGTGGACAGAGACCGAAGCAGAACTGCCGTTGTGTATATTGGAGCTAAAATTGCACACGTGGAGCCTTATGCGAATGCTGGACGCGGCACTGGATGGACGTACTGAATGCCAAGTTGTTGAGGCCCTTTCAAGTGGGCAACGCTCGCCTGCAGCTTCCCAAGAAGCGGGGAGCCCTCTTCCCGTTAAAGGAAACAACCACGCTAATAGTTCAGCCCCTCCACCTACACAAGCGCAGCGATTGAGCATTGTGCATGACATATTGGCCCTATGGAGTGCGGCGCTGTCAACTGAGGGCGTTGAGGAGCTCACGAAGCACTTCTGTAGTGACTACATTTGCCAAGTCCTGCTAACGGTGCGACTTGTGCATCACTTGGCGAAGCTAAAATCCTCCATGAGCTTATATCGACTACCTTAGTTAAGTTGCATAGATTGGACTGGCAGTGGAGTCTGCGGTTGAATTTCTGTGCAGCTTTGGCACTGTCACGTACTTCCAAATGCAAGTGTGTTGTTCACCATGACGATTTCGGGACAAGAAACAGAAAAAAGCGCTGAACAAGGGCAACAACGTGCAAGCGAGCTGCAGCATGTTGAAAAGATACTAGAATTAGTGGCCGAAGTAATGATAAAATGCAAATTTAGCTACCTTCGCCCACTGGCAGCTGTAGCAACGTTTTTGTTCCACTCAACGGGAAGACCTCTCCATCAGCCGTAAGCTTTCAACGCCCTTAAATTCCTTCCTTAGAAAAAGGAATAGTGACAAAGAAAGATGCACCAACTGCTTAGGCTTTCAAGGTGGCTCTTCTGATTTTAAGTAGCGGGGGTGTAGCATTTGCAAGGCCATTGACAAGACCGAGAACAAACTTGAGTATCAAGTTGAACGCTAGCACTCTAATTATATTTGCTGCTTTGTGGCAATGACAGCAAAGGCCGGGAGCTGTTGCGAGGGCTCATAGCCAGAGCTGAGTGCTGCGCAGCTGCACTGGCGATGCCCTTCGTGGAAGCCCGCAAGGTGCAAGCTGCAAACGCTCTTTTAGCTTCGGCGGATCCTATGGCCCACTTGGAACAGCTCTCTAACAAACCAAGTCCTTTGGAAGGCGCGCTTTTATCAAGCATGCTTTCACCATCGGAGCCCAGCCAACAACTGGTGGATGACCATAAAGATTCGCTTGCGTGGGATGCAGAGCCTGCAGAGGCCTGGACTCTGTTGTGCCTCATGTACGATTTTGAGGCTCGAATGGCTTCAAAAGTACGTCACACCAGGAGGAAAGCTACTGTGTACCGCTCGTGGCAACTTAACTCACGGGAGAAAATTTGTGCGTAAAATGTTTCTGGACTGCCTGTGAATGCGCAGCCTGTCCCGCAACCCTCAAGTACATCGGCTACAGGATTGAGAGGAACCCGGCGCCCCGGTACCCCAAGAATCGTCACCATAGTGGAAGACGCCGTTGATAAAGGGGAGATTGCGCGAAATACTGTCGGCGAAGGTCGCCTGAACGAAAAGGAGCTTACAGACAAACACCGCGTGAAATTGAACTGCGGACGAAACTGGTACCGGAAGTGCCTAGCACTCTGCGCCCTCGCAGACTTTCTACCGCCACCAGCTGGAGGTCACTTTGTAGAAGCTGCTGAAAAAGAAGTTTCGTCCGCAGCAAGACTAGAGGGTAGTTGGATTTCTGTGGCTGGTCTCAAGCCCACGAAGGAGGTGATGCAGCCGGGGCAGGGACCACCAAAATCTCGGCGGCAGCTCAAGTCTCCACTTCTGGTTGGGAGGGGACCGCAATTCCTCCTTTTAAGCCTCCCAGGTGCAGGTGCGTCTGCACAATCGGCGGCAACCAATGTGGGGAGATCCTGGCGAGTTTTATATGGGGGGTCCCTGCGCACTCACGGCGGTTTGGGTGTATCTCGACAGCAGAAGGATCTCATGGGGTCTGGCCTCCGGCTTGGCCTGAAGGAAGTAACCCGCATTTATGCTTTGAGAAATACTGAAATCTATGTAGGTAAGCGGCCTTGGTCAAGTCTAGGAGCTGCGGGCCATCATGCTCTTCCAAGTAGCTGCACATCACACCCGTAGACACATAAAGAAGAAATTGTATATAATCACTGTTCTGCCCTCGTTTGTACAGTCGCATATGAGGAGGTGGGAGAGGCTCGATCGTCAGATTTGAGCGAAACCAGCCTTCCGCTGAGCTGCAGCTGGCCGCTTCCGATTGCAATGCTTCGTGCGCGTATTTATAGCGCAGCCCTGCGTTGTTCGTTGCCACGTACTGCAGAAGTAAGTAGAGTCACTTCAAACTTCACTTGAAACTTTGGGAACAGCACTAAAAGCCGCTTGACTCGAATTAGCTTGAGCTCTCTGGAAGTGCGTTGAGTGGCATGGCAAGCCAGCAAGCATTCAATGATTAGCGCTACTTCGGAAACAAACAATTCCACTGGCCTTGTATACTGCTACTGCCTCATTACAACATGAAACCTGAGTATTAAAGAGAGCAGTAGGAGATGAGGAAGCCGTGCGTTGGCTGCAGACAGAAATCAAAGAAATGTGGAACCTCGTGACCGTACTGGAAGCAGGCGTAAAGGGTAAAGTGCCGAAGAACTCGAAGCTACGGGAAGATGCTTTAGGTGAAATGCCTCGAGTACCACCCATCAGTACTAACCCTTATCTATCAGGCTAGAAGCTTCAAAGCTTAATCAGCATTGCATGTCTATGAAAAAAGTTCCGGTTGCTTCTTCAAGCCAGTTGGACTGCCTATTTTGTTTCGCGTTTTGCAGCGCGGTTGCCTCCGTTAGTTGTACGATCGATCGCCGAGAGTGTTGTTCGCTGCGTAAGATACAATTCGAGGCATGCAGCCGACACACACGCACGCCAATTTTCCCTTTGATGACGTGCACCCATTGCGCATGGACGCAGTTGGTTAGGCTTCATCACTGCAGCGTGGAAAAGAAAGCATTTACCTGTCAATTCTGGGGATCTGTGTGGAGCAGTCTCGGGACCAAAAGTATCGTTATTCTCTGCTGCACTGGCGAAGCGAAGCGGTTGCTGCTCTTGAAGACGCATTTTTTCAAGCCACGAACTTGGAGTTGGCTGTATTTTCTCACAGTGCAGACGTCGCCGAAGAACAACTTTCGATACTTCTCAACACATTGTATGTGTTGATGTCATCGCTTTCATCTCTTCCAGCGGAGATCATCCGGCCTATTATGCGAGCCTTTGCAGCCGTAGATGCTCTACCCCAAAACTCTCTACCACCACAGGCGCGCGTGATGGAGGCTACTTTGCTAGGTTTTGGATGCCTCGCTGCTGCTCAATTTCAGGTGACGGCTGTTATTCAACTGTAGTCTCAGGAGTATATGGCTTTTGAGGGACTGATAATTGCATTAAACTTGCTGTTCGCAACTAGGCAAGGTGCTTAACTGATGCAAGACACAGCATATAGATGCTTTCAGATGCTCTCGCTGCCTTGGTGAGCACCCCGGTTTTGTGAATGCAGATACCCATAATTCATGGCATAGCCTGCAAGCATTTGCCAAGATCGTTAACGTTGCCCGCGACTATGGGAGCAGTGTTGACCCCTCTGGAGAAGCTAGTGGTCTTGAGTGCATGGTTAAGTGCTGCCATTGTGTCAATATCTCCATTCCAGCCGTTCCACTCGCAAGCTTCGCATTTTTCAGAAGGGATCCCTCCCCCCTCATGGGTCGTTGACTGCAGAACACCAGAGGGAAAGCAGTTATGCGCCGTAATTAGCGCAGCTCTGCTGGCTTCGCCTGGTGATGTCGGAGCTTCTACCCAGCGGTTAATTGATGCTACGAAGATTATCGTGCGGCTTCGTGGAGACAAGGAGGATCATGCCTTTGTAAATCTCATCGGCTCTGTCATATCTGTTGCCCTGAAACGTCGCATCAGGCAGGCCGATTGGGCGGGCATCTCAGACATAGAGGAGCTTATTGCTGATGCGGAGAGTCTTCTGGAGTTAGCGGCCCCAGCAGCCGTTGCTTCATTACGTAGCTATGCAAAGACGACTTTCGAAGCCCATGCCAGCAATGCTGAACCCTTAGTGGAATGGCTGTGCTCCCGGACACACAGCAAAGCTGCACTTTCAACAGGAACACCTGCCGCTGATGGCGAGGGAGAAGAAGAACCGTCAGTTCAAGACACAACAGAGCGAGCTCGTCAGATACACAGCCAAGGGATGGAAGTGGAAGGGCGGCTTCGCGCTCGAAAGCTTGAGGAGCATATAGCTCCCCAAGATGACTCAGTTATCTGGATAGCTAACTTATCTTCGTTGCTTCTAGCAGCACCCCTGCACACTCTTTCCGCTTGGAGGCGCACGTCTACTTTGCCAGCCGTGCCCTCGGATGCCTCTCCCCACCAGTGCTCGCACGGTCTCTTTGCTTTCGATTGTATTGAAGCTGACTTAGACATAGATTCAGATCGCGTTCCTAACCCAGGAAAGGGGGATGCGCCTCGTCTCCCAACTGATTTGGCGAATTGTCAGGAGCAGACACGAACAAAATCGCCTTCCCGCAGCGGTGCTGTTTCGCCCTCGAATGGATCTCCAGCTTCCGTTTTCCGTGCTTCTGTCAGCCCGGAGAAGCGAATCGAGCTAGTGGCATCAGAAGCCGAGAGGCTTGCAGCTCCAGGCCAGTCATCTGTTTGGCCTGCCCTTCTTCTTCTTTTCCAACGGGGGGCAACAGCAGCTTCCTTTGCGGTGGCCAGCAATGCCCCCTTGCTAGCATATTCTATTATCGTGAACTTGGGCAATGCCCTGCTGCTTGTCAATCCAGATGCTGCGTATCTTGCCACTTATCAAGAAGATTTAACAGGTTCTAGCTCAGTGGATGCCTTGTTTCCTCCTGATGCTGTCTTTCTGGGCAAAGACCCTGCTGCAATAAACACAAGAGAAAGCTCCAGAGGAGGAGACGGGCTTGCAGGCAACAAACAAGCACGACGGGGAGATGCGAAAGCCACAGGACGCCAACGAGGCTCTGTAATATCTGGCGGGCTTAACAGTAGAGGCGGCAAGGCGCAACAGCCACTTGATGCCAAGCCTCAGATTTCTCTCTCTGTGGCAGCTGGGATGATCGCGCAGGCTTGTGTAGATTTGCTTTTCCTGATTTTACGGGAGCATCTCCATTTAGCTGACAAAGATGAGCTAAGCGTCACCAACCTTGAAGGTCAGCCAGAAAGAGCGCCGCACGTGGATTATATCTGATCTACTCCCTACGCGTGTCATTAAGCGCTGAATCATATGCATAATTTTGTACCTATCCTGCAGAAATGATGAGACTGTATGCTGTTCCCGATGAGGGATCCGCGGTAGTCTACTCATCAATGCTTGAGGCCACAGAATGGTCTCCAGAGGAGGAGTCTTGCGAAACGCCGAACTCAGAGGCGGTAAACAGACAAGTTTTGTTATGCCAGCGGGCATTTGGTGAGCTATTTTGAACGTTTGACCTTGCTGCCAGAATACCCCGCAGGATACTTCCTAGAGTTTTGATGGCAGCGGAAAACTACGTTGCCTTCTTCTTATAGTGCTGAAGCCAAGCACCTGTAGGAGGAACCTGGCAACGCCGACTATGCAGAACAGCAGCGAAACGATGTGCGCACAGATTTGAAAAGAGTGAACACGTGGCACCTCGGAGGAGTCTTTATATTTTGCGTTAGGGTCATGCTTCATCGAGGCCGGCTTCATCAAGCTGTGGCGCTTTGCCGCCGCTTCAGTAGGCTTGGAAGAGGTCCACCATTCCGGTGTGCTGTTAGCCTTGGCCTTTGGGCACAACAAAAGATTATTTCTGCAAAGAAGGAAGCTCTAAAAAATGTTCTGGAACTTATGGGAGAAGCGGCAAGGGAGCAGGAGCATGCAAACGAGAAGCTTTTGGCTGCGAGGATAGCATCGCTAGAAAAGGAGCCCCAAGAGCCGTAGGCACTTAAGTAAAAGTGCCTTCAAGATAGTGCAAGACTTTCTTAATTCCACACTTGTCACCGTTTCCAGGCTTCACCACGGCAAAGAGGGTGTTCGAGCACCCTCAGTGCAGCTCTGCCTGCACTTGTTTGCAGAATGCCGGTGACAAACCAGTCCAAGAGGAGAGCAACTCGTGGAGCTGAGCAGCGAACTGATAATGCGCCCAGTTCTGCACTGATTGAGGCCGAAGAATCTGCTCATATTGCAGAAGAGAATGCAAAATTTTGGGTGGAAATGGAGGCCACAATGACTGCATCCCTGGGCAGGCAGGAACAATTGGCCTGCTGGTTGCAAAAAGAACTGAACCACATGCCTATGGAATCAAACCCGTCAGATACATTGCTTATAACTCTAGATAAAACGCGTAAAGCATTGTGGGAGGCCAAGTGGAGCAATAGGTAAGAAACAGTGGGAACTAAGAAGAGGTCCGCAGCCCTTCGGTAGTTTCGGTGTAATTTAGCGGTATCTCGGAAACTAGCCCGCGCTCTTCTGCGATGTCGCTCAGAGAGACATCTTCCATGGAGCAGCTTTGGCTCTCAGTATTGAGGCAGCACCAAAAGGCTGCCCAAACACTCCGCAGAGAGAAGCACTTCGAGGGGCTGTGCGAGGTCCTGTGCCGGCTAGGTGACCTGTCATGGCTTGGCCAGAAGCAAGAACTTGCTTGCAGCTCCTGGCGTGAAGCTGTTGAAGCGTGTTTCTGGAGAAGAAACATGCTGCACGAGTGGCCTTATCTTGACAGCCAGTTCTTCACCCCAGAGACAGGGCAAATAGACATACGTCTTAGAAGCCTCATACCTCTTCACCGATGGGCCAGGTTCACACACCGGAAGTCGCACCACGAGCAACTGCATGCAGCGCTGCTGGCTTCCCGCATTCTTCATGGTATCCTAATGACGTCTGCTGAGCATCCTTTGCCGGCTCAAGGAGAATGGGGAGCTACAGAGCTTTTCTCGGGTCGCAGTGATGGAGGGCTTCTGAGGCACCGCATAAGGAAACTTCACGGGCATCTAACAACGCTGCCTACATCGCTGCTCTCCCCTACACCTGACGGTAGTAGAGCTCACGCGGCTGAACTCGTAGATGCGTTGGCTTGGTTTGCTTGCGTATTACGTTGCTGTGATTTCACGCGGGAAAAAGCGTTCCCAATCTTGGCAGTGGCAGAGTACGTGGCGGCAGATGTTTGCAGGAATATCCAGACGGCGACGTACTGCCGCCTTTTGCGCTGCTTTCTCTGCATTGAGTAAGGATTTTCCACAGAGGTGCTCGTAGCCAGTCAGTATTGGCACATTCTACTCAAAGATCAGCCCTAGCAACAAACTTGTTTGCTTGACACTTGCCTTGCAGCTGCAGAGACCTTCAAGCCGCTTACTGGCAGCTACGGGAAATCGTCTGGGGAGTAGGAACATCAATAGCCTGCCTTTTTGAAAGAGGAGAATTCCCCGGCACCACTTTCGAAGGAGGCGATTTCGCAGTCTTTTCTGTGGCCTCGTCAGACACCCTCACTCCCGGTTCGAGCGAAAGACAACAAAGTAGCCAGACGGCAGAACAGCGAGCCCCTCTCTATGGATTTTCCAATTCGCGCAGACTCGACGATAGGGAGAATGTTACAGCACGAGAGGATCTATGGAGCTGGAAACTGCACAGGCAGGCATTCAGGAACCTTTTGGATGATTGTGCAGTAGCACGATCTATTAGACTACGCAAATAATCCACTTTTAGAAGAAGATTGAAGCTCAAGTGCTGAGTGTTGCGCAAACGAAGCTGATAAAGCTAAGCAAAGGCTCCTTTTTGCGAAAGCCTACCGCAAACCTGCTTCTACTTCTCTTTTGTTTTTTAATTACGCATAAAGTCGTCTTCAGGAGCTATATGGAGCTTCGAACGCTAGGAGGTTCGTTCTGGCCAAGGCGTCATGGATGGTCGCAGCCATCTCTAACTTGTCAGCGCCGCATTTAAAAGTGAGTCCACAAAGCCGTACTCGGTGGCTTCGGCAAAATCTTATTAGTTTGAGAGCATTCTTTGCTTTCACGATTAGATCTAGCTCTGCCTGAGCAGATATATCACCGCTTGTAGTAGACCAGAAAACATTACAGTGGAGTGAGGTAAGTTACCGATGTGGGGCTTTTATGGTCAGCCAGAGGAAGTGGCGCAGCGACTAGAGGGCCTCGAGCAGGTAGCTAACCTACTAATGGTCACTCTGCAAGAACTTATTCAAGAAACGGACACTCAATTACAGCCCGGGGAGCCAAAGAGACCAATTTCGCCATCTCAAGGACTTCACGAGGGCAGCCGTGAGCCGCCACTCCCACAATTGCCCCCGTCTTCATTTTTGTCGATGCACCTTACTCTACTATATGTTCGCCACTGCTGCTCCGCGAACAATTAGGCAATATCATTATCCTAAAAGCCATCTTCATGTCTTCACAGCGAACCGGTTGGCGGGGAGGAACAGGTCCGCGGCGGAGAAAATCTCTCTTCGTAAAGTGTTGGACACTTTGCGCTCTCAGCTCCAGCAACCACTGTGGGCAAAGTGAGTATATACTAGCTGTAGTAGCTGAAGATACCATAGCTGTAGTAGCTGAAGATACGAGGCACGTTTGCCTTGTAGCAGACCTTAGCAAGAAATCTAAACAAGTACATTTTAAAGGTTCGGTATTGCCTGTGTGTCTCTGTAGAGAGTTTCCCACTGAGGATGCATATTTCGCCTTAATGCTGCTTTCGCAAGTCCAAGAGGCCCTCGGGCACATGCATAAGGCTTATACTTCGGCAGAGGCCGCAGCGCATGCTGCAACTACTGCGGGTGCCTTCGAAAGAGGCTTTTTATTGCAACCGACAATCTTAGTGAGGCTTTTTTACCGAGACGAGTAGCCACAGCTTAACACCGAAGCTGTTCTTCTGCTAGGTTCTTCTTTGCCGAAGGCTCAACGCAGTTTAAGCATTCTCGTGAACAGGACTGCAGCCGCAGTTGCACTTGTCAGAAGAAGCTAAATGAACTGTGCACTAGTTACTGTTTTCTATGCGATGGATGCGACTATAGAATGGGATTAGAGCTTGGCAGCAGGTGGCGCGGCTCCTCTTTAGGGGAAAAAGGTTTTCGGCAGCAGCTAGTTTGGCGACACGCCTGCTTCAACTGTCGTCGGGACGTTTACCGCCAAAACTTGATCAGGCTAAGCCTTCAGAGATTAGCAAACTGCAGGAGGCCAAAGCCAAAGTGCCTTCAACTTTTCAAGAAGATCTCTCGTGGCTCCCTTTACCACCCGAGGCCCCCGGCATTCAATCTGCTCCCCCTCCAGTGGAAGGGGCGGTTTGTTTACCAGGAGTGGTAGTAGAGCTTCTTGTACTTCTCGCCGATGTGCATGTTTCGATGGGCCAGCCAACGAAGGCTCTCTGCCTATGCAAGTGGGCACGGCATTACGCAAAAGAAGCTCACGTTGACGGTGAAGTTGCATTTGCAGATGCAAGCCTGTTAGCTTCACAGATTGTCGCGGAGTGCCCTGTTTTGTTGAAGCTTGCACAAGTGGATGATGGTAAGGTGCAGTTGTGCCAAGCAGACGTTTTCGAGGTGCACCACAGCACAGATGCACCTGAAGCCGACGCAGCGGCACAATGGGGCCTCATTTCAGGCTTAAGAACCGATGCTCTGAAGCAAGCAGAAATGCATTTGCAAAAAAACTCTCTCTCGGAACTTGGCTTTTCCGGAAAGCCAGATGCAAGAGCCAGAAACTCCCCAGCCACAGAGGGCCTTTCAGATATCCCTGTAGGCAAAAAAGACAACCGACGCGTTGGGCAAACGGTGGCGGGTGCCCAGGATTTACCAGGAGCTCCTCTCTGGCAGCCTGCAACAATGCCAAAGTTGCATCACCTTGACTCCAGAATGGAAAGATCGCCTGGAGAAGACTCAACTTGCAAAGACCATCGGAACCTGTTTAATAATTGGAATCAACGAAGGGCAGCCTTGCTCCTTGGCCTGGCAGAGGCTTTCAAGCATCAACCCGGAAAGACTGCAGAATACTACAACTTAGTGGCCTTAGCTGGGCAGCAGCTGCGGTGGCTGGGAGAACCCAGCCCGCCCTTATGTGCGCGAGTGTGGCTCCACCAGCTACACGTTTATCGCTTGCAGCAAGAGATGCAGCTCGGGTCCCGACGCATTCCTGAGAGCAACGACACGAGCGGAGTAGAAGCGGCAGCGGCTGCAGATGGACTGGCGACTCAACAATTTCTGCGATACTTTCAGATTGTCGTTAAAGTTGCTGCGTTCATTGATAGATACTGCGGGTCGGACTTGTACCTTCACAGAACACTGTTTTCAGAGGCTTTGTTGCTCTCTATTCAAATGCTGGCGCTTTCGAAACTGCTCGTCTCGCAAATGCAACCTCCGTCGCCAGCCGACGATTCAAATGAACAAGCCGATGAAGCTATGCTCAAGAGAGTTGCCTTCCAAGGAGCGCAGCTTTGCATGTTAGCTCTTTTTCAAATAGAGCAACAGCGCCAGCTTACCCCATACCAGTTGAAAGGCGCGGACCTGGACGCAACTTTGCATGCCTTGCGCTGCCTCAAGCCGCTTATCAGGCTGTTCTTGGCCACGCGAAGTTCATACTTTGATGGAGGAGCCTCAGATGATAGTTTCGGAGAAGGTAAGGAGTCACACTGCAGTGAGTTGCGCGCGTATCCGTCTACAAAGCACGCGCCTGCGTTGTGACTTTCCACTTAATAATATTTCTCTGCTTAGGTGATGCTTCGATGATTCAGACAGCCTTACCTGCGCGGCAGCTCTTGCTGTTCTGCAAGAGGCGGCTCGCCGATGCCGGCTTCTCGGAGGCTGGCTTTCGCTGGATCGGCAAGTTGCGAATTGCCTGCACCTGGTCCTCTGCAGCTTGCCCAACATGCACAGTGCCATTGGGCTATCCCCGACGTTAGCTTCAGAGGCGTTCGCTGGGTTTCTTGGGATGACAGAAGAGGAGCCGAAGCGAAATGCAGCCTCATCTGACGCCGTTGCTGGCAAAAAAGAGGTCCAAAAGGACAGCAAAAGCCAAGTGAACGACAACCGTGATCCACCTCCGTCTTCTTCGTCTAAAGATGTCTTCTTTGAGGGCCTGAAATCCCTGCAATTCGCCCAAAATAGCCAAACTACCACAGCTCAGCTGCTCTGGCTTTCCCCCGGGGCTGTAAACGAAGAGAGCCTCGAGCTGCTACGCCGAACTCTTGGGGCTTCAAGTTATGGCGCAGCCGGGCCGTACGCTGCTGATACTTCGCCCTTTAGCCGCGCTACTGTAACAAGCACAACAAGCCGAGGCCATTTCTCGCTAGCTGTAGAAGGAATGCACCATGAGTCTACGCAGCAGCTCACAAAGAGCGTGACGCCAACGCAGGAAGCTCCTGTTCTCGTTGCGATATTCGCTGGACCA